AGCATCTCCCCGGTCGTGAGTAAACTAAATTTTACCCCTTTTCTGTCAATATTTAATCATAGTTTTAGTTTTGTACAGCTCCACCGGTTTGAGTAAATGCTGAGCAAATTGCTCCATTTTTTACGCAGATCAAAGTTTTGCACAAGTTTGCCAACGGAGGAGGCTTTGAGTAAAAGGTTGAGTACATGTAAATGTCGACCGACCAGTAGTAGGGCCAAGTCAAGCGTTCTAAGCAGCGCAAGCGTCACAGACCGCAGTGTCGCCCTTGCTACGTCATCCCTGGGTCTTCCTCAACGTGCTGCCGGGCCCTTTATAGGGCTATACAGCTGTGCGCCGTCGCCATGGCTGGCGCCGAACCAAGAGCTATAACGCGCTTGCTGCGAGTCTCAATTGCCGGTGGAGCTGCGCACTGTCTTTAGCACGGTTGTGCCGTTGTAGGCACGGATCTTAGGGCAATTTGCTTTTAGTTTTACTCAGCACCGGTGGAGATGCCCTAATAAGTAGTGCGCATATGGAGGAATTAAGTAATTCAAGTAGATTGAAGCATTTTTGTAAAAGTCTAAGTAGGTGAATGCATCAACTTGCAAGTAGATTGCCACAATCAAAAATAACGTTTTATCAGAACTTGAAAACGCGATAAGAATTAAGGACAGGGTAAGATATGAAGATGATGGAGGACGAGCAAACGGAACATCAGCGATAACAAAATAAGTAGGTGCCTCATTATTGAAAACATCATGGTGCCAACTGCCCCCTGTGCAACACCAACTGGGTTGTCTCAAGTCTGCGGCAGCTCGTTGGCAAGCGTGCGTGCCTGGAAAAGCGGTACCCGATCCTAAAGGCTCAGCGACTGGAAAAGGCCCGAGCCTACAAGCGCGAGCACGATAAGCTGTACCACCGCGCTCGCCGTGACGCGCTTAACGAGCTTGACCTGCGTATCATCACTACGGCCGCAGGTGACGTGACCACGACTGTTGTTGAGTCGCTCGTCCTGTCTGTGCCTGGGGACATTGAGTTAGGGGGTTCAACAACAGCTCAGAGCTCACCTCCCCGCTCTGCTCGACGACGTCGTGTTTTCTCGGCACCAGCTCCCCCAACGGTGATCGACATTACGGGGGAGGAGGACCAAGACGAGGACCTATCAACTTGCGCCATTTGCTAGTACGCGCCAGTGGCGCCGGTCACCCCGCGCTCATGCTGACATGCCATGTGTGCCGAGTGCATGTCAATGTACGTGGCGAGAAGCATTCAGGCCGAAAATGTAGCTAACTGCCCTACGTGTAGAGTTCCCATTCGGATGTAGCCATCCGGCTAGCCATACAGCTTTATTTTCTTCATTTTTGAGTAATTAAAAATATTTTTTTCACTTTATTTTGATGAAATGGTCTAAGCAGCAAATGATAATAAATTTGTTGTATATACTTCTTCCATTTACATTGCGTCAGTATCAATAATAGCGCACAAGAACGAGTTGTATTACTGGGAAGTAAAGTCGTACGATCGTGCGAATTGTTGCTATGGAATACCAATTTTCGTCAAGTCACAGTAAGCATCAAAGTAACACATTCGTACGATATTACAGATATAATATCTTCACTTAAGTTTATCCTTGCAGTATATTATCTATCCTTGAACTATCACGTGTATAATACTTTCCTTCGATCCAAGTTCTATTAAAGGTAAATAAGAATTTTATGATATCATTTTCGTACGAGAAGAATTTTAAGAAAACCAAGGTCCGTTCTCGACGTATTGACACTAACAATTCGAAATGTAATTTTTGCTTTGTTATGCTTTTGCAAAGACTTACGACTCTACTGCATACGTCTTGCAGCTCTAGTATTATTGAGTCATAGCAATGGCAGGCGACGCCGCAGAACCTGGTCGTGCAGACCTGCGTTTGTTCTTCGGCTTTGGACCCGGCTTCATGCCACGCTTCCCTAAGTCAGCTTCAGTGACGATGACTTCAGGTACTAGCAGTTGAAGATCCTGAGCGATGGTCGCCGAGCGGACGGTCGGGACAAACTGGTAGTAATATGTCCACCGCGCGACCGACACGGTGTGTTCCTTCCAGGCGAAAAGCTCGCTCACGTGCATTCCGTGATGAATTGCAGCTTTGACTGCATGGACACACGGGAACATCAGGTCTTGCCAGCGTCGGCACGTTGCATTCCTTCTCGATCAAGTTCACGGTTCGCCACAGATGGGCGTGGTCCGGTCTGCTGCTGATGTCCGTGAATCGCACCATGTACTGGCCATCAAGGCACGGCAAAATCTGCAGGGTTTTCGTAAGAGCCATGATCCCGTCGAGCTTCTTCTTGTAGGTGGGAAGGAGAAAGTCCGAGAAGGCTGCAGGGGTGGTCCTCATCACGTCAATTTCGCAATCGTCGTACGGCTCACCTTGGGAGGTGCTTGCGTGTCCTGCGTTGCTACCTGGACCCTTCTGTCGCGAGGAGGTGCGGCGCCTTTCGGCGAACAGCTCAAACACCTTGACGAAGTATTGCTCGAAAGCTTCCAAGGGGTA